GTTGATTGCCATGAAACATAAGCTTAATTATACTGTTGAGCCGGTTGGCAGCAAGTTGACAACTCTATTTATTTATTTTTCCATTCTCAGAATCAGAGAGCGAAAGCTGGTTCAGTGGCTTTTAGAAGTCGAACTTTTCATGCCATGTATTTAGCAGCTAGAAGTTTTGTGTTTGCATGAGATGCAGCCGAGCCGCACAGTATGAAATTATTGAAGTCTTCAACCAAAGAACAACCATGTAAAAGAATTAAATAGGCATTTTCTTGAATGAAAGTCATTTATAGGCATGTTTAGTTTCCCGGTGACTGCAGTCATCAAAGTCAAAGTTGTTATTAAATCCCGCCCATCTTTTGTTTTGAGTTCTTGTTTTCTCTGATAATAAAACAAATTATTGAACGGACTAAAATTTTATTTCCTGGTTTTAGTGTTTTTTATGATAATGATGACGTCTTTATTTTGGTTTCTTTCATAAGTATTGTTATTCTTTTCTTAGTTGTCGCCTTCTCCCAAATTAACTTATGCCAAACCAGTAGCATGCAAGAAAGCCAGTAAAAACAAATTCGTCTTGTCGAACGCTCGCGACCTGCAAACTTCAAACATCATTTTCACCGTTGGTGCAAACAGATAAACATGTGGTGCAAAAGTTTGAGAATAGAAAAATATATAAGCTTTCGAATGAAGTGATTTTTTTGGCCCCCTTTTTTGTCTGTTTCGCCCTTTTTGCTTTTAAACTTGGCGCGACGGCAAAGTTATGCTTACGCTATTGGTTTATATACTAGACCGGAAATAAAAAGCTGACCGGATATTAAATTTTGTGCTCATGCGCATTGCGTTTTGCCGCGGTGTTTTTCCGAGGTTGCCTTTTGCTCGTCCCCAGTCGTCCCTATCTTTCAGCAGGCTCCCTTCCTCAAGTGGTGGCGGCTACTTAAAAATTTTCCTCCGACTTGCACAAGTGAGCTGGCTCGTAGGCTAGCGCGCTGTTACAGTGTTATGGGCATCCTTCACCTGAGATCAGGCTCTTTTTTCGTTTCGCTAAAATTGAAAATTACATTCCGGCGGCCAATTTCAGCGGTAGCCGTTAGAGAGAAAGTATGAGAACCGCTCAAATTGGGCCTGATCTCAGGTTAGGGCATCCTCTCCGGCGTTTTGGGCATCCCCTTCCCAAAACGCTAGTGATATGGGCTTCTCGTATTACCTTAGCGATTTGGGTTAGGTTTAGGGCTAGGGTTACAGGGGATGCCCATATCACTAGGGTTTTGGGAAGGGGATGCCCAAAACGCGGGGAAGCCCATATCACTGTGACAGCGCTCCCTTTAACTTTTCTCGTTAATATGAGAAGGAGATAGAGAGACAACGACTGGAGACGAGTCAGCTCATCTCCGGTTAGTGTGAAATGCAGAGTACTGCAGACTGAAAAAAAAGTTTCCACGCAGGATGGCCAGAAGCTAACTAACACTGAATTATGATGAACTAGACTAGTTTTCTAGCAACAGAGACGGAGTCGAAGTTGTAAGTGGAATCTTATGAGCCGGCTTATGAACGAGTAAACATCAAAAATTGGAACTGGAAGCGGACTCAAATGCCGGACGCCGTAGTCGGAGTGGGACTCGGACTCGGACTCGGCATACAATCTACGGTAAAAACAAGATACGAAGAGAATAGAAGGAAAGTTGCTGTTGGTGGAAAATCATCTATGTGTGCTTCCCATTAACCTAAAATTTCTAGATATTTCGGTCGAAATATTGATGCAACGCTTTGTTCCAGACGGAAATTTTTCGGCAGAGTGGTACTGACCTAGGCAGGTTGTCCTCTTTGACTTGCCTGTCCGACCGAAACTTGCCACGTTTCGATTTCAGTGCCACTTTGCTGAGAGATAACCAAGTTCCCTCAAAAAGAAAATGGAACTCTTCAGTCCAGATGGAAACTTTGTTTCAATCGAACAATGCCGTTCCATTTCTTTTGGCCAATTCCATTGGTTTTTTTACCGGTTGGTTCGGCAAAATGGAAAGCACGGCCCTATAATTCGGAGTCGGAAGCGCTGGGGGACTATAAACCAACCACAACGCTCATTCCCAGTAATGAATATGGATGTGTTAGGCCTTTTGGCGCAGGAATCTCATTAATTTACGCAGGAACACACGAAGACCATTAACACCAATGCCTTCATAGCCCTTTTAGTGCTTTTATCCGTCATAAATACGATGTAAGAATATCATCAACCACTATCAGACCGGGGGGCTTTTAAGCTTCCCCCCTTCTCCCTCACTAAAAAGTGGAATAACTTACTTCAAAACCGTTTAATCTTAGCGACTTTACCTAAAATCTCGTGATCTGGGAACATTTTACAGTCATCGTGACCTGTTACCATGGAAACTGAGTTTTGACAGCCGCAACCTTATTTTTCAAAATTTGAGCGTGCACTAGTCCAAGTCTTATACAATTTACTCACTCCTGAACCGGTTATTGATAGTGACTGACTGACGTTTCCACAACCTGCCTGTGCGGTAGTCATCTTCAGAATCAAAGTGAGTTGGATCACGTCAGTTGATGACATAAAACTCTGACTGGTTATTGACCTGATTCAAAATGGCGGATGTCCTGTGCAGTAATTCAAAATGGCGGCTGGTTCCAGAGTTTCAGCGGGAAAACGTCATCATAATATCACTGCTATTGTTAAATCTCATGTGTTTGTCTGGTTTTACCAGACACCTTATTGAGGGAATAATTGTATTTTGTCAATACAGCAAGTTGTCATTGCGTCAACCGGCTTATGCCTCTGAATTGGAGAAATGATGAGTACATTATTCTGAGTAATTTTGGTGGCTGTATGATAAGCGATTTAGAAGTTAAAGAGGGGGGCCTCCGCGCCCCCTCCTCTCTGGTCGCACAGTAATTTTTAAGGAGTTATAACAACTCCTCTAGTGGGTATAATTTAACTGCTTACAGTGGAGTCATTATTTGGGGAGTTATTTTAACTCCAAAAAGGAGTTTAAAGAACTCTTTTTCGGGAGCAAAAGTGACCCCAGATATTGAGGAGTTAAAATAACCCCAAAAAAGGAGTTATCCTGTACCTAAAATTTTTACTCCACTTTCAGAGTTAAATTAACTCCAAAAAGAGTAAAAATAACCCCACTTCGGAGTTATTTTAACTCCAGACTGGGAGTAAAAAGAACTCTTTTTCAGGAGAAAAAATGACCCCAAATTCGGAGTTAAATGAGGAGTTAAAGGAAACCCCCCAAAAGGGGTTATCCTGTACCTCAAATGTTTACTCCATTTTTGGAGTTATAATAACTCCCTAAAAATTACGGTGAGCAGAGAGCAAAAAGGCCCATTCCGAGGGACTACAAATTAAGTCGGGTGTTAATTGTTGGTGGTTCGACCGGTTAGATAGTGGTTTTTTTCGTATTTTCATGTCAATGACTGCCTTGATTTTTAATTGGTTGACTAAAAACCAACAAACTTTTTCATTGGTTGATTCATCTTGTCGAAGAAAAAGCGATATTTTGCCTTTGACTTAAAATCTCTGAGTCTTAAAGTATTTATGCTGGCAAGTTTTACTTCCTGCCGCTTTCATTCAGTACGTGTCCATTGCATTTACAGCTTAAAATTGGAGACATTTTACTACTTTTACGCGCAGGTTATCTAATATCAAGGTCAATAAATGTCGTTATCAAACACAACACAAAAGTAGATTGAGTTTGATCGTCCGGGTGAACGTAGTCCTGAATAGGACTGTTGTTGTTGACAGTGACTGACGTTTCGACAACCTTTGCGGTAGTCATCTTCAGAGTCAAAGTGAGTTGTATCACGTCAGTTGATGGTATTTTACTCTGGCTATTGATCTGATTGGTCAATTACGTCGCGATGTTACTGGTCGTCTGTCAGTTAAGCCGTGATGTTATTGGCTATGAAGACTCGTAATCAGTAATTGGTGCGTTTCGATCCATCTATTGTCACAACACATTCAAAAGCACTTGATATTACAGGTTATATAAGGCTCCTGTTTTCACTTACAGTTTTCCTCTCTCTGAAAAAAGGATTTCGAATTTCTCTTTGAAGACATTTTTCTTTTCTTAAGTAAAAACCTCTTACATTATTCTTAGTGTATACAAGTTTCGTTAACTCGTTAAACCGAGAATTGAGCGAAGGGTTGGACCATTAGTGGCAGCGTTTGAAGAAGTTTAATACTACAAATGAAGATCTTATCGTGTTAGAAATATTCATAATCTTTATTCTAGATTTAGCACTCATCCTACTATATCGAGTTCTCCGCGTCCGAAACTTTGGCTCTTCAATTTTGAACATTGATTCTCCATCTCCATTATCCGGCCAAGTCCATAATTCAGCTCAACAGAGCGAACTCAATACAAATACTGAAGTCCTTAACTTTACCCTTTACTATTTTCAAATGCACTGCACCATACCTTTAATTTATCAAGTATTTTACAAGTCATCCTGAGTTAAGTCGACAGGGAAGTATGACGATTATACGAAAACCATATAGCGAAAAACCGCAAGTATACAAATTCATAAAAAAGTTTTCCAATACCATATAGGTACGAAACGGAACAACGAACTGGGAAATTCTACAACTGAATTCAAATCCGTTACAACATGACGTAGAAAAGCGAAAATGGCTAGGAAATCCGGTTTTTCGGGGGAAAAAACCTTAAAACTGATAATCTAAGTAGAATCGAATGCATTGATTTGCAAAAACGGGATATTGAAAATGGACTGTTAAATTTATTTTAAAAAGTCGAATAAAAGCAACAAACGAAAAACAAAATTTGAATTCCATTCTTTTTATTGCACAAAAACAGGCTTCAAAAACTTTGAAAGACACAGGACCACCAACTTCTGTAACGCTAACATTATATGTATCAACAGCACGTAGATTCTGGCGAATTCCGTCGTGTAGAACTAAACCAATTGACTGCTGGTGGAATATAAGTTCCAATTCTTCTTCGTCTCTCGGTTTCTCTGATCGTTCCTTTTCTAGGAGTTTGCACAAACGGTAAAGGAGCTGTTGCTATTCCATTAAATTGTTTCATCAGGTTTATAATTTCTTCGGTTGTTAAAATGTTACTGTCCGGAACAACAGACATAAACTCCTTTTGTGACATTAATGAAAATCGTATTCCTTTCACAATTTCTTCCCCTAAAATTTGTCTTTTACTCTTGCTACTTGTATGCTCTGATTGACCTTGTTTCTCGAATTTTCTTGTAGCCCAACGATCAACAGCTTTGAATAATTCTATCTCCTTCACGCATAGCGATTCTCGATTCACAACTGTCTCGACAAGACACCTATCCAGTTCAACAAACTCGTCAGCTTTCACCGCCTCCTCTGTCCTCTTGTCGATCACTTCCCAGCAACGCTTCACGAGGCCCTCCTCACCAAAATGCTGCGCGAGGGGAAGTATGCAAAACACGTTCGGTGCGTCCAAATTGGTCCGCAGAAAATCGGTACATTTATCAGCCAGCGAAGGAACAATGTATTTGTTTGCTAGATAAAGCACCTGTAATACGTTAGCTCCACTGAGGTTGATATCGTCAGTGTAGAGGTAACGAAAGAACTCCAGCAAATCATCATAATCACAGTCAGGCAGATGAATGAGGCTTGATGTCTCCGCCATTTTCCCGTGAAACATGGCAAAGAATACCGGGCTGCTAATTGAGAGGACAAACTTATGAGCTGGAACGATCTTGTTGTCCTCGCCACTGGAAGCTCGAACAACGAAGTTAACATCACTCAGTAACTCGTTGTTAAAAACGAAGGCACATCTTGTCTTTATGGAGTTCTTTGAAGTTTGCCAATCCTTCTCTGTCGACATAATTACTACTTCTGTAACGTCAAACGTTCAACAACCCTTTTCAGCTTCCCCAGCAGCTGAAACGGTTTTTTCCCTTACCGGCAAACANTGAAACGGTTTTTTCCCTTACCGGCAAACAAAAATAGCGATACAATGCCGTCACGCGATACGCGGTATGCGGTAAAATAATTGAAGGTTCACAGAAGGTTGCTATAAACGATTTGCATTTGGAGAGGCCCCCTGACGTAATATATTTAATATATTATTAGTTCTGGATGAAAGCTAGAAATTTTCAAGCATATAAAAATGAACATAAATTGAATGGTCGGTTGAAAAATAAGTGCTGTATTACTGACATGTAGTTGCTAAAGTTTACGACAACTAAAGCAAAATTTAGACGGAAATAGTGTGTCTGTAATATTATGAATTTTTATTTTCCCGAAGGAAACTTTTAAAGTTGGCATGCCTGTGGTTGCTGTCTATCAAGGAGTGAGGATTATAATTACGAAAGAGGCATAATTACTGTAAGAGAGAGACCTACAAACAATTAACTACTGCGGTGATAATTAACTACTATTGTAGGTCAGCGGGTGACACAAGGGGTTTAGAAATGACGTCAAGGTAGTCAAAACAAATTACGGTGTCCGTTATAGTGTAAATCCTTCTGGAAAGCGGTGATTTGATTTTTCTTTCACAAGTTTGAGTGTCTCAAATTTTGGGTAAAATAGGACGGAAAACTGGGGTGACTTTTTTCTCTTGCTTTCAAGGAAGGGACTAAAACTACGAGCAACTGTTTCAGAGTAAAAAAAATGGCACTGACAAGAAGACGAATGAGTAAAATAAAGTTCCACGAAAAGAAACCCAACTCACATGCTGATAACCTATGAAGCGCTAGTAAAAGAGAACGCTCTATTAGCTGGAAAACTACGACTTGATAATAGTGAACAAATAAAGAACTGTCTCGGGAAGAATTCGAAGACGTTTCGGGAAATAAAACATCAGCAGAGGGAGAGAGGGAGGAGGGAAGAAGGGAGGGGAGGGAAGAAGGGAGGGGGAGAGAGGGTAGAAAAGAGGCAGGGAAGGAGGAAGGGAGGAAGGGAAGAAGGGAGGGAGGGAGGGAAGAAGAGAGGGAGGGAAGGAAGAAGAAGAAGAAGAAGAAAGGAGGAAGAAGACGGGGAAGGAGGAAGGGAGGGAGGGAAGGAGGAAGGAGACACGGAAGAAGGGAAGAAGAAAGGGGAAAAGGAGGGAAAAAAGAAAGGAGGGAGGGGGGAAGGAGAGAGGACGGAAAGTAGGGAGGGAAGAAGGGGAAAAGAGGGAGAGAGGAAGGGAAAAAGGTAGAATGGCAGGAAGGAAGGAAGAATGCGCAAAAGATAATGAAACACACAAAACCCCAACTGCAATTGAGTTTGATCGTCCGGGTGAACGTAGTCCTGAATAGGACTGTTGTTGTTGACAGTGACTGACGTTTCGACAACCTTTGCGGTAGTCATCTTCAGAGTCAAAGTGAGTTGTATCACGTCAGTTGATGGTATTTTACTCTGGCTATTGATCTGATTGGTCAATTACGTCGCGATGTTACTGGTCGTCTGTCAGTTAAGCCGTGATGTTATTGGCTATGAAGACTCGTAATCAGTAATTGGTGCGTTTCGATCCATCTATTGTCACAACACATTCAAAAGCACTTGATATTACAGGTTATATAAGGCTCCTGTTTTCACTTACAGTTTTCCTCTCTCTGAAAAAAGGATTTCGAATTTCTCTTTGAAGACATTTTTCTTTTCTTAAGTAAAAACCTCTTACATTATTCTTAGTGTATACAAGTTTCGTTAACTCGTTAAACCGAGAATTGAGCGAAGGGTTGGACCATTAGTGGCAGCGTTTGAAGAAGTTTAATACTACAAATGAAGATCTTATCGTGTTAGAAATATTCATAATCTTTATTCTAGATTTAGCACTCATCCTACTATATCGAGTTCTCCGCGTCCGAAACTTTGGCTCTTCAATTTTGAACATTGATTCTCCATCTCCATTATCCGGCCAAGTCCATAATTCAGCTCAACAGAGCGAACTCAATACAAATACTGAAGTCCTTAACTTTACCCTTTACTATTTTCAAATGCACTGCACCATACCTTTAATTTATCAAGTATTTTACAAGTCATCCTGAGTTAAGTCGACAGGGAAGTATGACGATTATACGAAAACCATATAGCGAAAAACCGCAAGTATACAAATTCATAAAAAAGTTTTCCAATACCATATAGGTACGAAACGGAACAACGAACTGGGAAATTCTACAACTGAATTCAAATCCGTTACAACATGACGTAGAAAAGCGAAAATGGCTAGGAAATCCGGTTTTTCGGGGGAAAAAACCTTAAAACTGATAATCTAAGTAGAATCGAATGCATTGATTTGCAAAAACGGGATATTGAAAATGGACTGTTAAATTTATTTTAAAAAGTCGAATAAAAGCAACAAACGAAAAACAAAATTTGAATTCCATTCTTTTTATTGCACAAAAACAGGCTTCAAAAACTTTGAAAGACACAGGACCACCAACTTCTGTAACGCTAACATTATATGTATCAACAGCACGTAGATTCTGGCGAATTCCGTCGTGTAGAACTAAACCAATTGACTGCTGGTGGAATATAAGTTCCAATTCTTCTTCGTCTCTCGGTTTCTCTGATCGTTCCTTTTCTAGGAGTTTGCACAAACGGTAAAGGAGCTGTTGCTATTCCATTAAATTGTTTCATCAGGTTTATAATTTCTTCGGTTGTTAAAATGTTACTGTCCGGAACAACAGACATAAACTCCTTTTGTGACATTAATGAAAATCGTATTCCTTTCAC